TTAAGATCTTCCTTCACATGTAAAACCTACATCTGGACCTCTGGCATTTATTAACAGTTGAAGGCCCCTTCTCATATAAATGAACACATTTAACTTGCAGTCCCAATCAGTTTCTAATCTGAAAATTGCCTCCTGCTTAGTTGCATTCATCCATATCATTTCTACTGGAAAAATTTGATTTCACTTCTGCTCCTGATAAAACTTGTTGTGAAGGGGTACTGGAGACTAATGGGTACCACGGGGGCCACCTCAAAAGTGGAAGTAGTTTAGCAGGAAATGAATTCTTTCTGGTTTTGTCTGTAAACCATTTTATTATTATAATTGAACCAGATTTTTAACAGGCTGACTGCTGTAATATTGTTAACTTGACACGATACATTTTTATGCAGTGTTCATTGTTTCTTATTCACTGTTTTAAATAAATACTTTAAAATTAAGCATTTCATATTCAATGTCTACTAAACTTCCCATGTGTTCATTGTCTGTTGCACATGTGCATAAAAAATATATTGTACATACGCAGAAGGAATGACATCCATCTTTCAAGTCTCATAATTTAAGCATATTGCAACAGCAGTTGTCTTGGTTTTCTCACTCTCAGATCTGAATACAGGGAATGTACTCATTGCCCTCCCTCTCCCCCCACAACCTGTTGAGATCAGTGCAAACATAGATTATTCTCTATTTTTGTTATCAAAACAGCTTCACATTGCAAATCCTCCATTTACAAATCACAGAACCCTGGCTTTACTTAATCTTGTCATGTTGTCACATTTGACTAGCCATGCGAACTGACCTAGAACTGCAAGCACAAGGAAGGCAAGCTGTCAAAGAGATAATGACAAAGATGCTGAAAAGGGCTGCCAATGTTTTCACTGAGTGAGATAGAAGGATTAATCAAACTTACTACAGAAGAACAGAGGATAATCCAAGTGTTTACTGATTTTTATCAGCTGATCCCATGGTTGAACATCTTACCATAACAACTATGGGGAGTACTAAAAGCAGTAACAAATAAAAGTTCCGTATAAGCCATGCACAACTATTTACAACAGCAGTAAAAGGATGTTCAAATTGCCAGCATAAAAGAAACTAGAATTTGTTGAGGAAGTGTAGTTGCGTGCATTAATACATACTATTCTGGACCATGATGGCTACAACATCATTCTCATGCTATCAGACATAAATTTTTAGCTTTTTCAAAATAGAGCTTCAATATTTACTATTTTTTTACTGGGAAAAGAAGCTCCGACATTAAAGTTAAATAAAGTACTAGAAGAAGAATCTTCCAGGTACCCCTGCTATTGTTCATCTTGTATTTTGCAGGGTTAAAGAAAGAACATTGTGTAATAAGAAAAGTATCTCGTTGAGAGTGATGTTTTGCCTTGCCAGATTTCTACCTGAAATGGAGTCCAATCTTTGGGTAGCGATACTGAAATAAAAGAGACTGTTCTCTAAAGGCATATGTTCTCAATACTGAACATATGCCACTACACTGTCATCTAAATTAAGCTGATTCAAACATGTCTGAAATTGTAGTTTAAAACTGATTAGATTATTTCTCTATATAAATTCTAGTTAAAAAATAAATCATTTTCAACTTTCATATCTGACCCACATCTCTCACCAGGTAATTGAACAAGCAAGAGGTGAACTGTATGACGTGAGCTTTATTAATCTAATGGTAAATTATGACCAGAAATGGACCTTGTAGGAAGTAGAGCATATAGGCATTTCAACCATCCTTACGTATTGCTGGAAATTTCCATTCATTTTTAAATAATTGCCTTAGCTATATACTCTTTTTGCTTCATATGCAAAATCTGCACAGGCGTCAACTTCCACGTAGAGCTCAATGGCGTCATATGGGAATGTCACAAACCTTGCAATCAAGTGACTGTAGGTAGTAAATATCCCATACAAACCATTTAAAGCATCTTAGGGTTCCTGTTTCTCTCTTCTTATACAAACAAAGTAATGTAATCAAATCCCATCAGAAAACCACACTGTTTACTAGTCTTCCTAACTAGGGGGAACAAAACGAATCAGGTTTTTCCTCATTTCTGCAAAGAGAAAGCATTTATCTTCCACCATAGCATTTTCTCATAATTTTGATCTGAGATTTTATGTTTTTAAAACCTGCTAACACATTTCATTTGTCCACACACATTCTCTCTTTCTGTCACTTTTAGGAATGATAATGATTGAAAATGTTAAATGAATGCAGTAGTAGCAACTAGAGACTTGTTATATGTACCACACTTCAGTCAGAAAGCAGATTCATAACATACACAGGTCTTTCATGCCAAAAGCATAAATGGTATTGGCACTTTGGAGGAAAACAGTATCAATTGTACAACCCCAATGGATTTTGCTGTTCATGTATAGCAGTTACTAAAAGTTAAAAGTTACAGGAAGATAGTAAGAGAGGTATAAATCTAGGATATTCATGCTTTCCTTTTATTACATTAGATCATAAAAAGTAAAATGTATGTTCCAGCATCCACATGGAAAAGATGCCATAAAATATAATTTTTTCTTCAGGGAATATGTATTTTGATGTTATAAAACTCAAAGAAAATGATTAATTAAGGTCTCCTTTTGAAAATTAATTTACATACACAAAAAATACTATAGGAATTCTGCTTATAACTAGCAAGCTTGAAATATCAGGCCACATTATGTTTTTCATAAGGATCCTGTGAGGTGCAAAGTGATTATCTATCTCAGGACTGGGCCCCTTGTAATGAATTTTGCCTTCATATAACTATCTTAAGTGATGGGCTGGAGAGACTTGTTTAGAGACCTTCATTAAAGGTTTACCATTCAAATGAAGGGAAGTTTCTGATGTTTTCTCTAACTCTGGTCTACTTCCATTCTGTTTGCATCCTCTTTAAACATTCCTACCAGAGATGATCTAGCCACAAAGCATATTTCTTCTGAAGAGTAAGTATTTTGGCCTCAGAATACATCAGATTCCTTCAGGAGATTGTTATTTTTAAAGAGTTTCTTAGGGGAGGATCCCCCTGCCAAGTTGTTTATGTATGTATATGCAGTATGTACAAAAAACCCCATGTTGTTACATTTGGTTAAATTGCTTAATTGTAAACAATGACATAATGAAGAAGGGAGCAACTGTGGTACCAGCCCAGGACACTGACCCTGGGGGTTCAAATGTAGCAGCAGCTGTACTACGCCATGTGCTGCTGCCACCCTGTGTGCTGAAGTATCGAACGCTTCTGATTTTAAAAGTAGCATAATTACCCTTCAGAAAAAAATGTTACATGATTTAAGTTTAATTTATCTCTGGTATGGAGGATGAAAGGAGCTAGGAAAAATCACCCCACACACATTTCCCCCTTCAATGTGGTGCAGAAACGTTAACCTCAGTTTTACTTATTAGTTACATTATTATTCATCAATACACAGACAACAATTAAAAAAAAATAAGTAGTCTAAAGGATGATCCTGATGAACTTTGTCATGCAAGCTAGGGATTTTAATCAACACACCTGAGGTTACTTACATTATACTGTTAAGGATATGGACCCAAGTGTGAATTCCTTGCACAACCAAGACTCCTCTTGACCCCAGTGTAAGGTTTGGGTATGTAAGGAATGCAAGACCAGGACTCTCGTTAGCTAACTTACTCATACTGCATGACAAGAAAAGCACCTCTGTTCAACTGTTCATCAATTTTTCCATTGTTCTTAGAACCATATTCAATCACATATTCCTACATTGCATACGCTGTACTCCTGGCATAGGTTAAATAGAGAATCCGGAACCCAAATATGGCCAGAATATGAAATGCTATCTTTTCAAATATGATGAGAGTTTCAATTTGAAGTGCATTCTATTACTGATTTAGCATTCTAAACAAGTTATGTTAAATCAGTTTGTATGTTAAAGAAAAATGTTTTAGATAATATCTAAAAACATATTATTTGCAAAAGTCAATACATATTCTCTTTGCTAATGGCCTTATCTTTTTCACTGACAAAAATTGTAGGATCTTGACTTGTTCATGTACAGATTGCTATGTTGTAAAGTGCATATTCTTCTTTCATTTGCTGCTGCCGCTGTCTTTAAATAAATAAATAAATGTTTAATACCAACATTTTATATTAGACTACATTATCCTTCCATCATTGTGCACACAGAGCTCCTGCAAAGTCAATAGTATTTTTTGTAAAGAGCAATGGCAGAATATGGCCCAATGCTATTACTATTTATTTTGGCTTATTTACAGATCTTCATGTTACATAGTAAAATCATACCAAGCTTACCTGAATCAAGACTAAAACTGTTTCAGACTATATTAAGTAACAGACTAGAATTGTCTTGACATATGCTGTATATTTATAAGATTTCTATTAGAATATATCTTATAAAAACCTTATTTGTTCTTTAAAACCCAGCTGGTTACAATAACATTGTGTTAGTGAAGAAACCGAGGGCCTTTACTTACTAGAGGTGATGCTCTGATGACAGAGAGATCTTCTTTCCCACTATCCTACCCACAGATATAGGCTTCAAGAGTGCTTTAGGGTCTGCAGTACCCTTGTGGGCACCATTTGCCCCCAGAGAGTCGCACAGAAAACTGGAAAATCCATAGCACTTACAATGTCCTATATATATGAACAATTTTATTCCTCTCTTTATTTCTTTTTTTAAAGTCAAAATCTTGATTGCACTGTAAATCGATATTTCCTTTTAAGAAGCTTCAACACTGAGATTTCCTTTTAAGAAGCTTCAACATATTCTTACTTTTCTAGATCACATTATATTGAAAGTAGAAATAAAACACCAAAGTCAGCAAAATAACCTAATGTCTTTTATATGGCAATGCCTAAAGGCTTCAAGCTATAACTTAGTGAAACTATTCCAAAGATTTATATTATGGACTTTACTAAGCTTTCTCTAGTGATTAACTGCAGCATGTGAAAAAGGATATTGAGACCTGGATGGATGCATCAAGAAGTATCAATGATTGTTACCTGCAGAGGTGTTACAAGAAATTTCATCTGCTGCAACGAAGACGAATTGATTTCTGCAAGAGAAGATAAAATTCACAATACTGCTTGCTGACTGGGAAATGTGCTAGCTGCCAATTGACTTGATGTTTACAGATGGGGTAGGGTAAGGGTGCTTAATTTTAATGAATGTAGCAAGAAAAAGTGTTGACGTATTTCAGTACTGTAGAGTTTATAAGGATCATGAGGTAGACATGCTGGGATCTTTTAAATGAAATAATGGTGACATTTGAATATGGACTATGTACAGACTCTTGCGCTGGAAGCTTCATGTTTAGTGTTACAAATATGTCATGCTAAAATATATCTATAAGTTTAAAAACTCAAACTTTATTTATATTAATGTATATGCTAAAGGGCACTATTGAAAAAATATGTAAAAACCTACAGTTTGCAAGAAAAATGTAATTTACTAAGTAAAGCCTATAGAAGAATACTGAAAATAAAATATTTTTGGTATTTCTGTATTATGCCAATACAGAAAATGCATTTTCTTCCATTTCTGAGAGAGGATTTATGACGTAGTATATTCTTATATATTGTCGTCTGACTACTACTAAAGATTTGATGCAGAACACTGAACACAGTAAGTTAGAAAAATGATTGGTTTGATATGACTTCTCTTGCAAAATTCTTTTTTTCACCAAATAATATAAAAAAGAGAAATTCTAAATATACTTTAAAGAAAAACTACATTATTTCCCAAATCATGCTTCCTTTACTCATATTGCAATCCTAGGACTCACAAGGAGTATGCAGGATTTTGGCCATAGTATGCTCTCTGATTTAATCAAGAATCTGGATTATTAAAGAATCATTACCATCAAATTGTGCTATTATATGAAAGTATGTATTTCTCCCTGATATCCTTTGAGCTATGCAGGTTTAAGTAAGAAGCTGGTGCCAAGTTTTCAAGCTTAGGTACTGTTTTATTTAAAACTTCATATAGTTCCTACATCACAGAAACCTGCACATCCATGCAAGTCCACATCTTAGGAACTAGGTTCAACATTTGCACTAAGACCTCAGTCCTACAAGGTGTTGAATTTTTTGCGCCGGGGCTAAGTTCCCATTGAAGTCTGGGAAAGTTCAGGGGCATAAGATCTCAAAGGAGTGACCAGCACCTTGCGGGTTTAACGCTAAGGGACCAAAATCTAGTTTTATTATTTTACCATTAATGTTAAACATTTTCCTGGAGTCCTGTGTTCAGGGTAATTAAAATATTCTAATTTTGATAAGCTATGCAGGTTTCTATAATCTATACAATATATAGCCAAGCTTTTTTTTTTTGGTTAAGATCGAGAAGTATATTATTGAGTGTGACCTCTATTGGGAATATTATATCCTGCATTTTCAGGGAGGCTAAATTAATGATCAAACTGTACATTACCACTTTTAATTCTGTTATTCTGAAAATGCTGCATAGGCTGGAATTTTGTTTCTCAATTTTTTTATCTGCATTATTTTAATAATCTAGTGTTATTTATCCTGTATGGTGTACCAAAGAGCTGAAATCGAACTCAAAGCGTTTAAATGCATCATTAGGAATATACAGCTATTCTGCATTTAATATGCAACTTCCACTGTCTCTTATATTGTGAAAAGGATGCACATAGAAATATTTTAGTGTCTGCCTAACAAGCTCCTTTTGAAAGCAAATCAGATTCTATATCTATTGGTCCACATAGCTGATCCTATGCTAACATATATAAATAAATAAAATCTTTTCTACTTGACATCTTCCGCATAGTGCTGATTTAGGGTATGGTAGTTAGAGGAGGAAGTCCCTTTTACAGCAAAGGAATCAGACTCTTTCCAAACCAGCTTCTTTTTTCATACAACTTTTACTCATGTGTTAATCCTTAGACATCAAATCAAAGAAGGATTTTTAGGATTAATATGCTGTATTTGCGACTTACACAACCTCAGAACAATCATTCCTATGTCTCCTCTATTTGATCAATTTCTATAAATCATAGATTGCTCAATGGGCTAAAATGGTCATTTTTTCCCCTCTATTTCTTATTGAGTATACATATAAAAAATGTCAAAAGTGCCTGAACGGAACTGCGGAGGCAGGTCATTATCCAAAGAGACAAGCCTTTTAAAACCTCCCAAGTGGAGCCCTTGTTACATTCCTGCAGTGTTCACAGAAATGCACCATTTCTTCTTGTACTTAGCTTTTGCATATTTTATTTCAGAAATTCATAAATCTGTTTTTTTTAAGTAAAGTTGAAGGCAACCATTGATTAGTATAACAACAATTGTTGAGAAAACTAAAGTACTCATATATTATTTACTTTATGGGCAAGTACACGTAGCCACTGGAATGCGACAGCCAAATTCAATTTATTATGAATAATTAGATACTATCACTAATGATTCCAGTCATTTGCCTGGTAATTTGATCATCTTAATGTCTTTGTAGTGATTGTCTCTATTTTTTAATGGCTTTATTATTTACAGGATATATATACCTAGAATGAGAGTTAATAACAAGAAATTTCTCTATAGACACGGGAACGTGTTATGTGTGCCTTCTGTAGGAAGCATAATTATTCACTGTGGGCAAAATCCTGTGCAACCTTCTTATGAGAGCAATACCATGACTTCTTGCCTGAGTTAGGCAAGCAGAATGTAGCCCATAGAATGCAGATTCACTCTATCTACATCTAAATACAGTCCAATAAAGGAAATTAGAGATGGAAAAGACCTACTAATTTAATGCGTTTCTTTGCAAATGCAGAACTGTTTCCTTTAACATAAGATCAATGATTAAATTATTCAGGTGATAAGGACAACTCCACTTACAGAACTAGTTTATAATCTAGTAGTAATATAGATTTTAAATTAAATATATTACAGTAACGTAAACATTTCAAGAAACAAAGTGAATTGGTTTTAAAGAGCTTCTCCATTAATACTATGGGACTACTTGATACATTTTAATTGGAAATATGGACAGTGAACCACTCTAAAAAGAATAACTTAAAATGTACTTCTATATAATTACAATTGATCCTTATTTGAAAGGAAAAGTGAAAAGTTAATTTTTACTGCATATATACTTTAAAATAATCTTGTGCTGCTTTAAATCTATCCAAAGAATGCAACCATGTCCTAAAAAGAAGCATAGTTTTATGAGACATGCTGCTCTACTATTAAATCCAAATTTTCCCACTATCACTTAAACAGTTGAATTTAATCTGCACCTTAAACTTTTTATAGAAATAGAAAATGTATACTGATGTCCAAGTTGTTTATTTTATTTAAACAAAATTGAAGAGAACTAACAAACGGTAAGGAAAGCAAACTGGGACAAAAAGAATACTGAAGCAGTAACACGGTAAATAATAAAGGTGTTTTAACATCAAATTGATAGTAAAAACTCATGTGGCCTGTTTTCCAATTACCCTATTCCTACATTTGGGGCAGAAACAGAGGCACAAGGAAGCAAAGATGCCATTAAGGTTTATTTTGAATCTGTTAGGGCCCTGCCCCACAGCATTAGTGATGTTCTGATTTGTTCTGATTTGCTTTCCTTTACCTCCTAAACCAAGAGTGTCCAATTCATCTGGGGCTGAACAGAGCACAGGGCTGCTCTACAGGTTGGATTGGACTCACAGGTCCTTCCCCTTCTGCTCCCCCACCCCTCCCCCTATTCCTCTTCCTCCTCCCAGCAAACTTAATCCAGCACCTGCTCCAGTTGGTCTGAGACCCATGCTGAGTACAACACAGATCTCCAAGCAGCTGGAACAGGCTCCATGTGCAGCATGGTCTGGCTGCAGGAGCAGCTGCACTAAAGGCAGTGCCCTCCCTGACAGCTCCAGGACTGTTACTAACAACAGGACATCCTGCAGATGCTGCATGTGGTACCTGCTCCAGCCAGTTTGGGACCTCCACTGCATCTGGTGCTTGCAAGCACCAGATGCAGTGTGGAGCCTGGACTTGCTGGACCAGGCACTGTGTCCACCACACACCCCAAAGCAGGCATTACATATGACACAGTCTGGCCATAGGGCAGCTGCACTGCACACAGTACCACATCAGCAGCTCCAGGACTGCACCACACATGCTACCTGTGCTAGCCAGTTCAGGACCTGTGGTGCAAATGGCACCTGTGGGCATCATATGCAGCACAGGTCCAGGAGTGGCTGGAGTGGGTACCATGTGTGGCATGGACCCCAGAATGGGCACCTTATGTCATCTAGTCAGGCTGGGGTGGCCACTGTGTGCAGCACTATGCTGGTGGTACCTGCTTCAGCTGCTCTGGGATCCATGCCACATGCAGTGCAGGTCCCAGATTGGATGGAGCAGATGCAAGATATGCTGGGGGAGGGGAAAGAAAGGAGGTTTGTGGGCCAGATGCATCCTGTGGACCCACCCTGCACTACAGATACATGTTGTGCCCCTTGTGACTCTTATCAGACACAAGGGCAGCACCGGGGACTGGATGGAATGGCTCTGTGGGCCAGAACTGGCCCTTTCACCATGTTTGACACTCCTATGATAAGGTCGATTTGGCAGAGTAATCACACTCCAAACCTGTCCCCTATCTAAAGGTAAGATTACATTAGGGCTGTGCAAAGCTTCAGGTGCTAATTCAGTTCGGAGCAGATTTGAGCTGATTTGGTGGCCAAATCTCTGAATTCGAATCAAATCAGACCAGTAAAAAGGTCCAAATTGATTCAAAGCTCTCAATTCAAAGGAGGGGGAGGGTACCATGGGGGGACCCCAGCCAGGCCCCATTCCTGCCTGCTCTCCCAACCCCCTTGAGCACCCCCTTTTTTTTTTTTAAAGAGCCAGGAGCTGGGACTCGGAGAGTGAGTGGAGGATGGGGCTCGTGACAGAGCCCCCCACACAGCACAGGGCAGTGGGAGGGAAGTGGGGTTCCCCTCCTCCCCCACCTGGCAGCAGCCAGTGAGTGCTGGGTTTTGGGTTTTTTTTAAAGAGCTGGGAGGCTGGGGCTGGGCGAGGAAGCCATTGATAGGGCTGAGAGCAGGTGGGGATAGGGCCT